CCTTATAAAAGAAGTGTGAGAGTCTGAGGCAGACACACACACAGTAAGTGTGATAGTGTGATGATGGAGATCGAGGCTCCAGAGAGCCACTAGAATCTGGAGGAGGCAAGGAAGGAAGGCACAACCTGCCCTTACCTCATTTTCAGGCTCCAGCACAAGAGGACCAGAGAAGAAATTTCTATGTTACAGCAGACCCAGGAAGCTAGCACAGTGAAAGGAAAGATTGGGTATTGCCTCCCAGTATATAACCACACAGAGAACATTCAAGAAGTCAGTTTTGTGGCCTGGCCTAGATTTGCAGGCCTATGATCCCAAATGCTCCAGAGGCTGAGAGGGAGGAGGGCTGCTACTGCAAGGCTTGTGTATGCTCCAGAGAGAGCTGAGCACCACTCTGGGTGATTTAGCAAGACCCTGTAACAAAATAAGAAGTAAAAGAAGGGTTAGGGGTACAGCTCAGTGGTGGACTATTTGCCTAGTATGTGTAGGTCTTTGGTTCAATCCATGGTACCACTCACACACACACGCACACACAAAGCCAACTTTCTGGAATGAATCATGGCCTGACAAGGAGTGAGCTCAGGTTTGGAGAGAGGTGGAGGCTGACTGATGCCCCATGGCTCCCTAACAGACTTTGTCTCATGGAATGTTCTGGAACCTTTGCTGCCTACAGCCTTGATGAGCACTAATAACCAGGCACTGTGCTCCAGCTTTACAAAACCTTATCCTTCCCATCAAGCCCATGACGGTGAAGTCATGAGCCTAGAGAGGCCCAACTCCTCCAAACCAGCAGGTTACAATAAGCCAAGAGGAGCCGTGTCTTTGGGGCTCACCCTGCTGCCCTCAGATTTGTGTCTGAACTGGGGGTTCCATGGTGTCCATCTTGAGTGGAGGTGAGGCCCTCAGAGGAGTTCATACAGTACCCTTCACACAGGTGCTAATGACTGTGAGCATGTGATTATGGCCATGGTTCTGTCAACAAAGAATCTACTTCTTAAAAAGAAGAGCTTTGCAATATTACAGAGCAATAAGGGACAACGTGTTATTTTTGATGTAGTATTTTTACTATTTTTTGGTAATTTTGATGTATTTTGATCATATTCACACCCATTCAACTCCTACCCTTAACTCCTCCCACCTCCTTATTCTCTTTTTTCAATTATTGTTACTTGTATAAATAATATAAATATTATAAATAAAACCTCCTGTGTCCTTTTAGTGTTGCTTATATGCACATTTTTAGGGATGGCTACTTGGGATTAGATAACCACTTACGGGGCTTACTTCTGGGGAAGGCTGACGTTCCCTCTCTTAGCAGCCATTGATGGCTTATAGCTCTTCATCTAGGGGTAGGTCCTTGGGAGATTTTTATCATCCACAATAGCACTTCAACTGGTACTGTCAATGTTTAGGTCTTGTTTAGGCAGCCATATTGCTGAGAGTTTGGGGTGCAGCTCCCTTGTCCTGTATGGAAGAAGGGTGTCTCAGCAGACTCCTGATCCTCCAGCTCTTACAATGTTTCCACTCCTCTTCCGTGAAGAAGGAACAAATTATCAGTCCCTCAGTGAGCTAAACAAATTCCCAAAGCACTGAGCTGCCTGACGGTCCCCAGAGGCATCATCTGCACTGTTGAGGGGCAGTAGAGAAGTGGATGCAGTTATAAAAGGGCTACAGGAGGATCCTCGTCACTTTGGAATTGTTCTGTATCTTGAGCAGGTTGGTAGACACATGAACAAGATAAAACTGAACTGCATGCTTCTCTCTCCCCACTCCTTCCCTTTCCCCCTCTTGCCCCTCTCCCTCCCCCTCTCCCTCCCCCTGTACATAGGAGAACAATGCAGGTACAACTGTGGACAGTGTGAGCAAGCTCAGGATGTGAGACTGTCCTGGCTGCGATGGCTGGCTTACTTTCACAAGTTGCCTTTGCTGAGGACACCAGATAAGGAGTACACCGACATAAAAATCTACAATCATGCCAGAACAACACATTAAAATGAGAAACATCGACTTTGGAAATAGAATGTAAACAAAATAAATCTGAGCTCCTTGGGCTTCGCAGCAATAAATCTACGATTTATTTCTCCCTTTGGAATTTTCTTAGGCCCATTTTCTCAGTGCATGTCAAATTGACTTGAAAGATACACACATGAGCCCACTGTGTGCCAGGAACAGTGCGGTCGCGTGTGCGTGTGTGTGCTTGTGCATGTGTGCGTGTGTGCGTGACTGTGTTGGGTCTAGGAGCAGGCTAGGATAGTGAGCAGGCAGGCTGGAGGAGAGTAAAGCACAGAGTGGAAACATGCCTTCCACACTGAGGAAGTGGGTCCCCAGAGTCCGAGGGGAGGATGCTGTTTGCGAGGTGCCTTCGCCTGGGGATGGGCCTTCAAAGGAGCAGCAGAAGCATTTGGGGAGGCCCCCTCAAGCTGCTGCATGCAGAAGGATGGGTCAGTGTTGAGCCTGAGGAACCCCCAGACAGGGATGTGCCTCGACCTGCTCCAGATGCAGCTGGGAGTGCGAGAGAGGTGGGGAGGACAGAGAGAGAGGGAGAGAGAAGCAGTGTCCACAGCTGGCCCTGGCCACAGGCAGGCCTGAGTCCTCAACCTTCTCCCCCAGGATGGCTGGAAATAAACTCCGGATAGTGTTTCTGTGAATTGAGATAACACTCTCCTGAATGCCTAAGGCTGCTGTCTCCAGCAGCGGCAGACGCCATATTCTCTACTGATTGGGGTGGACCTCAACGGGTAAAGGCCTCAAACAACCAGAGACAGGCCTGGCAGCCAGGAAGCTCCCTTGGAAGCAAATTCTGAAGTGGTTTGTGATGAGCTGATCTAGACCCTGCTAATCGTTTGCTCTAAGAATTGAGTGTGTCCATTTCACTATTCCTTCACTCAAGAGTTGCTCACAATCCCTCCAGCCTCTGACCATGATCGCAGGTCAGCTTCTTACTGTGGGCTGGGTGGTAACGAAGGAACTCACCAAGGGTCCCCATAGCTAGCATCCTGCACCCACAGGAGGACCCAGGTCCCTTGTACCCCCGCAACCAAGTTCAGCTGTGTGCTTTTTATTTTCAGGTCAAGCTAGGCTCGGCTCTATGGTGATATTTTATTTGTATTAAAATGTTATTTGTATGTTAATAAATAAAGTTGCCCGGGGGTCAGAGCTATTAGCAAGCCATAGGAAAGCAGGGCAGTGGTAGCGTACGCTTGTAATTCCAGCACTTGGTAGGCAGAGCTGGGTAAGTCTCTGTGTGTTCAGGGATACAACCATTATTGGATACACATGCCTTTAATCTTAATACCAATCATGGAAAACCTGGAGGCCTATACAGACAGGCCGTGAGGAGGCGGTCATGTGGTTGGGTTTACAACCAATGAGAAGGCAGGACAGGAACTCTATATAAAGACTTTAACACAGGGGTAGCTCTGGTTCGGAGAGGTAGGACCACCGCAGGAGGAAGGGTAAGGTTTTAGCTCTTAGCTCTGACCTCTTGGCTTTCTTCTTTGCATTGGTTCTGTGTTTCTTATTTAATAAGAAGGTTGGATACATCTACACGGCTCTCTGCAGACAGAGCTCCTGGAGAGGGGCCACCACCTGAGACACTAGGAGTTGACAGCATGCTGGCTATCCTGACGCCCACTCCACTGTGCCTCCACTGACACCCCACTCCCATGACCTACCAGCCTGTCTGACTTGGCATGTTTACAGAAGACTAAAATGACTCCTTATGGGAATGAGTAACCCCAGAAAATCCAATATCAATTGTCACTGATACTGAAAAGCAGTGGGTCCCTCACAAGGGTTTGATGCCCTGGCACCTGGCACCCATTTACCTGTCCTGTACACAGCCAAGAGCCAGCCCAGTCACAGAGGGTCCTGCTTACACTACTCTCCGATACATACTTCACTGCTCAAGGAGGAACATTAGCCAGGTATGAGGACGCCTGGGCTCGTTTATAAAGATGGGAAGGGGAGCAGATTGGAGCAGGGAAGAAAGACCATGCTGCAGGGTTCTCTGGGCCTGGGCTCAACTCCTACCTCTGATGCTGGCTTACCCATTTTCTCAGTGTTCTTGGGTGTGGCGGGGCTATAAACAGTGCTGAAGAAAAGAGTGCTTTTAAGGATAGAAGGCAGAAGACAGACGGTGTCTTCTGTCTGGTGCCCTTCAGGATCCCACCTAGGAAAGATTTGTGAAAAGACTCAGCAGTTGCTTAAGAGACGTTAGCTAGATATGAGAGCATAATCAGATAGATCGCAGCTTCAGAGTGAGGGAGGGGTGACAGGTGGAGCTCCCGAGGGAGGAGGAGGCGGGAGGGAAGAGGGCTGCAAAGAAGCTCCGTGTGCCTCAGGCACACTGCTGACAGCCCTGCTCACCGGCAGGGAAGATGCCAAGGTTCTGGGAAGATGGAGATCGACCTGGATGCAGCCCAAGAAAGATGAGGTCGCCATGCTCTGAATTCCTCTTTGATTGTTGTAAGATGTGCTTGGGTGATAAGGTGTTGTTGAAAGTCAGCAAGGGCTAGCAGGGTGGGCACGGTGCCCAGCTAGGTGGGGCTGGGGCCTCCCTCTTCCCAGACTGCTCCACAGCACCCCTGACCAGCTCATCCTCCAGGGCTCTGGACCCCATGTGGACGTGAGTCTGTGTGCTCTGCTTCAGCTTTTGCTGTCAACAGTTTTAGAAGGCCCAGAGAAGGAAACAATTTAAATACGTTGATCTGCTGTATGGTAACTGTGTATACTAACTACCTGGGCAGCCTCGGAGGGAGAAGCCTCTTCCCTCTTATCTGTATTTTAAATCTCTTGCATTTCTTGGCCTATGTAAAGATGTGAAGATAGCACTCTGTCAGGCTGTCAGGATGTCTGTTGGTCTGTCCACCTGAAGTAATAGGGAGCTTGTCTCAAGATTCTCCCACTAGTGGTGGTGGCTGGCACCCTCTGGGTAGGTAGGCCAGCTAAGGGACCTATGTATATATATAGCAATGCAATTAAATCGCTACCAATCCACAGAATAGCTTAATGATTATAGGAATTTATTGGGTGGTTAACTCACGATACAGGAAACTCACAATGCAGGAAATAGGGATTGCAGCAGATCCTGGAAAGATGAAGCACAGTCTAGTGCTGTTCTCTGGAGAGCTCTGCCCCTGATCTGCACCAGCATCCAAGACCACGAGGTAGCAAAGAGAAGAGAGCTCACTTACATGCATCCCAGGTCTTAAGGGTCCTTCAGAACATGGCACAGACAACCACCCGCTACAATGTAGCAGAGTGTGCTCAGACTCAGTGTCCTTCCTCTCTCGGATCTCACAGCTATGCTCCGTTTTCCATGTGACAGAGAACAGGAAGGACATGGAATCACAGCCATTTACAAGGGTGTGTGGCTTTGGATGTTACGCGAGTTCCATTTCCTGGATGCTTGGCTCTCACCTGTGGAGGAATTTAATCAGAATGAGTATATGACATCGTGGAGATTATGTGAACAATTCCGCCATAAGGACTTGAGTTTAAAATAACTGTGGTTACCATCATTTTTCCTGACAGCCGAGGGATCCTAGAATATCCTTGAGGATGCTATCCTCATTCCTACTGTCTGTATTATCCAGCCAGGCTGGCCTCAGCTGGGCCTCTCAAGGGTTCAGCAACTCTATCTACCCTGGCTGCACACAAGGAGTCACCTTCAGATACAACCAGACCCTGTCAAGAACCGCTCTGCTTGCTATATAGCACCCGTTGTTCTAAGAAGCCTGTGTGGCCAGGTGTGTCCTGTCTGTAGAAAGGACCGGCCTCTCCCTGAGGGCATAAGGCTGTATTTGCCCTCAGGGTGCCCAGCTTCCCATTGTGTTTGTAACACAACAAAACCTGGCAGTGGCTTCTCACTGGTTGATCCCCATTCAACCTCACCAACCCTTGTCTTCCTCAGAAATCAGGTGCCGCCCTCCCCAGTCTGTCTGCCGTGAGAAATGTCAGGAGCTCACGGCAAAGCTTCAGGATGAGCACGGCCTGAGGAAATGGTAGTCTTTGCTCTCAAGTGTCATTTGATGACCCGGCTGTGAGAAGGTGCTCATAGGTTGTGATCTTCCACCTTCTATCCCCCTCCCACCAGAAAGTTGTCTCTTTAGGAGGTGAAGTGGCTTCTATCTTCCCATCCACTAGCTTGATATAAGCAATGTCTCTGCCACCACCTGCCTCTCTGGCGGTTGTCTTTATGCATGTAGTGGGCAGACCAAAACTTTGGTGCAGCAACAGATTCAGTGTTCCAGCTCCAACATCTTCTTTTAACCCCCACTTGGACAGCACCACTGGAGCTAGACTGGAGCTAGTTGGAGGTTGGGGAGCGGCTTGGGGGACCCCTAAGGTATGTGGACTCCATTTCAGTACTTACTCTTTTTTGCCTAAAACTTTGCACAAACCGCATGGTAACAACCGTAACCGAATGCGGCTTTAATCACCCAAATCCCATCACTCAACCAAATCAACTGTTTTTAATCTTCCCTAATCTTCTCAGAGCCTGTGAGTAGACGACGGTTCTGTAAACAGCTATAATCACAGCACTTTGTATTGTGGCCCCTTGTTTCTCAGCCCCAGCTCCATGTTGCTACAGCCTTTCTTGGGAGTCCTTTTCAGTGGGCCACTCACCCACCCCCTGGTGAGGCTCCTGCAATCTGCTTACCGGTCCCCCAAATGTCCATTATGTCATCACTCAGAAGAGGTTAAAGTTTGCCAGGGATGGTCATCTAGAGTCCAAGAATTTCTCAGTGTTGCTGGACTGAGTCATCGGGCATTAAATATAAAATATTTCCCTGGGACAGGTACATCACTGTTTTCAAGGCTGGCACTCTTTTTTTTTTTTAACTTACTTTTTTAATTACTTCTTTTTTGAAATTATAATTACATCATTTCCCCTTCCCTTTCCTCTGTCCAAACCCTTTCATATACCCATCTCCTTGCTCTCTTTCAAATTCATGGCCTCTTTTTTCATTAATTGTTCTTACATGCACATGTTTATATGCATATACATACATATTCCAAAGTACATAAATACCACCTGCTCCGTCTGTATACTGTTACTCATAGGTATGTTTCCAGAGCTGACTGTTTGGTATTGGATCACAAACTGAATGCTCTTCCCTGGGGAAGACTGTCTCTCTCACTCTCAGTACTCCTTACTTCCCTATAGTTGTGGGGGACCCCATCCCTGTCTGCTTTGGTGTGTCTGTATTGTCTTTATTCAGCTCATGTTTAGGTAGCCATGTTTGTGAGACGTTATGGTGTGCCTTCTGGCTTCACTAGAAGACAGAGTCTCATTGCAAACTCCTGATCCTCTGGCTCTTCAGTGGTCCCTGAGCCTTGGGTGCAGAAGCTGTACTGTAGATGTGTCCACTGGGACTGGATGTACAACTGCATTTTGATTAGTTGTGTTTTTCTGTAATGGCCTCCATCTGCTGAAGGAGAAGCTTCCTTGAAAAGGGGTGAGGACTACACTTATCCTTAGGTATAAGGACAATATCTAGAATGCAGTTAGGGATTGTGCTGGTTTAGTAAAGCAGTGGTTGCAGGTTCTCCTCCAAGATCCATAACTTCACTAACCCTGTGTAGTTGTCTGGATTTCCAATACCAAGCAAGGTTAGCTGTTGTTGAGCGGGTCTTAAGTCCAGTTAGAGAGCTGTTGGTTACTACCATGGTATGCAATGCCACTACCACACCTGGCTTACCTTGTCAAGCTGGTCATTGTTGTGGAGCTTACATCTACTCACCACTTCCCTCATTTTCTAAGAAGTCTCGCACAGAGATCCCCCTGTACTGCCATGGCATTGTAACGTAAGGAAAAGTCCATTGAGATGAATGATCTCTCATCTTCCCCTTCATCCATCACCAACACTGCCTCCATCATCTTTCTAAATCACATGTCTCTGTGCCAGGCACTCAGTATTTTTAAAAAAATTATTTTTTGTGTATGGATGTTTTGTCTGCATCTATATGCGCCACATTTGTGTCTGGTGCCCACAGAGACCAGAAGAGGGTGAAGTATCCATAGGACTGGAGTTAACAGCCGTTGTAAGCTGTCATGTGGGTGTTGGGAATTGAACCCAGGTCCTCTGGAAGAGCGGCCAGTGCTCTTAACTGCTCAGCCACCTCTCTAGCCCTGGTGCTCAGTATTTTTATGTGACTGTTTAATGCCATTGGCCGCTGGGATTACCCTCAGATTCAGAGGAGGAGGCAGGCTTAGGATGCTGGTGTTGTTCTTTCACAGCCAAATCTCCGCTTTCAGAGCCGCTTTGCACCATTTAACTCCCTTGAAGCCCACTCAGGGATGAGCAAAGCTTAGCACCAACCAGCTCCTCCAGTGACCAGAGCTTGACCTGTGGGCATGGGATGGTCTTAAGCTGCAAGACTTCCCAAGCAGCCTTAGCATGAGGGATCTGTCTATCTGGGAAGCAGGCTTCCCACTCCATCCTGCAGGAGCCCTGGACAGGGCAAAGCATGCCTGGCTGGGATGTAGACATTAGCGGCCAGAGTCAGGAAGGCCCTTGCCTCAGAGCATGGGTCAGCCATTAACAGAGCCAGGCTAGGATCTGAGGGCCTTGGTTGTGACCAGGCTCGGACCCTCCCTGGGAGCTGTTCTAAGAGACACGCCTGCAACTAGTTGAGGGGACAGTCAGAGCTGAGCAGCTGCTGTGTCCTCAGAAAAGGTGGAGAGCTTGGGGATCAGAATGCCAGGTGCAGTGGGAGTGACCCAGCCTGATGTGGTGACTAGAGATGGGCAGGGCAGGTGGCAGAGACTTGGGGTCTGAGAAACCAAGCCCAGGGTCTCATCAGCCTCCAGCCGGCTGCCCTGCTCTTTCAGGCTTATTCTTCACAGGGATTTCCCAAGAGCGGAAGGACTTACCTTTACAAACCCTGGAGAGGGATCTCTGAGAAGAACACAAAGCTCTCCTGACAGAATGAAGCCTCTGGGATGGAGGCAGCCCCATCCTGCTCTCCTCCGCAGGCATTTGGTGAACCTGGAAGAAATGGGGGGGAACAAGACATACAAGCTCTTGTCTTCAGAACTTCTGCCTTGATGGACTCAGAAAGCCACTAAGGAAGCAACATGCTTCCTGAGGAAGTGCTTTCAGGAGGCAGTCAGGGGGATATGAAAGCGGACTGAGGTGGGCCCAGATGCCAGTTTGGAGGGAGTGAGCCTTCTGAGGAAGAGGCAGGAATGGAAGAATCTACCAAGTACAGACCTGGAAGCAGGGCTCTCAGGCAGGGGACAGAGCGAGGACAAAGGCTCTGAGGTAGGACATGGTGCTGTGAGTTCCAGGACCAGAAGGGAGGGTTAGGAGAAAGGATCTTATCTTCTGTTCAGCATTGGTGCTGTAGAAAGCACAGCCAGCCTCCTGCCGGGACTGCCAGGCTCTCTCAGGTCTAGCCTTGGCTCTGTGGTCCATGCAGCTTTCCCTTCTGGCACCTGCCTTGGCAGGCTGCTTGCGTGACTGGTGAGCTTTTCTGACTGACTCACTTAGTCAGTCCCCTCAAACGGATGGCCTGTTTACACATAACTGTGTCCTCATTAGGAGCAGCTGACAGATCAAAATAGCATTTCTTGGACTTTACAGAGCGCTGAATCAGGTCATGTTTACTTTCTGGTTACTAGGCAGATGGCTACGATTTGCAAAAAGCTACCTGTGGTTACTTAATTGGAGAAGGCTGCTCTTGTTAAGGGCCCTGAGCTGAGCAAAGCTCACCAGCTCTGGAGAGAGCATTAATTACAGGTGCCTGCTCATTTCCTGCTTGCTGATGGACATTGGCTGACTGCAAGATCTCACTTGTGTGGGGCAGTGTAAGTGTTGCATCCTGCCTCCCAGGGCTGCTTGAGTGTGCACTGGTCCTCACACCAACGCTGGAGCCTGGCCCTGCCGCCTCACAGCACTGCACACTCTGCCCAGCAGCTCTGAGTGGAAGGGGGGAGAGCACTGCCCTCCCTACCCTCCTCTGCCATCCCTGTGACCAGCAGGCCAGGGCAGGGAGTATCTCAGGACTCCTAGGGACGGGGCTGCCATTTAGGGACTTAATCGCTTCACCCTGTGGCTTATCACCCAGGTGCCTCCTGGGATGCACACTACACTTCCAACGTGACCACCCCATCTGGGTGCCCAGCAACTGTGAGGCTCCTGATGAAGCCCCAGGAGTACCGGACACACATCCACATCTTCCAGTTTCCAGGGCAGTCTCATGCTCTGTCCTTTTTAATTAAACTTGGAATCCTGAGATCATGAGCGATTCACACATCTAAGAAATAATGAGAGCTGGGCTCCGCTGTTAGGCTGTTTGCCCAGCACAAGTGAAGCCCTGGGTTCAACCAGCCCCAAACTGCCTAAAGCCCGGCACAGTGGTGCATTCTGTAAAACCAGAACTTGCGAGGCAGAGGCAGGAGAATCAAAAGTTCAAGGTTACCCTCAGCTACTTACGACTTCAGGGTCAGCCTGGAGGTCAGAAAACAAGTTAGGAGTTATTTCTCTCCTTCTGCCATGAGTCCTAGGAATCAACCCCAGTCATCAGGCGTGGCAGCAAGTACTTTACCCCCGGGCCGTCCTGTCAGCCTGCTAACCAGGATATTGATGTTAATGTCAATAGAGTTACTTCATCACCATAGGCAAACAGATTTGTTTCAGCTACGCTGTCTTCCGGTAGCTGTATCCACCTTCCTGTGTCTCACCAGCTTACAAGTTTAGGAGCTGAACTATTCTCCTTTCCTGAAATCCTGTGTTTCCAGAGTGTTATAAAGACGGAATCACATGGTGACATTTTGGATTAGCTTGTTTCCTCAGCTTGATTTCTGGCTGTGCTGAGGGTGTGCATTGTGAATAGTTCATTCCTTTTTATGGCCGAATAATACTCCATACTGTGGACATATCACAATCTATTTAACCTTTCACCCACGGACATAATCCATAACTAGATTATGTTTGTTTGGTGTTACTATGGATAAATCTGACATAACATTTCTGTACATTTTGGTGTGAATGTTTTCATCCCTCAAGGATACAGACATGCTCAGGAGTACAATTGCTGGATTCTGTGGGGATCACATATTTTGTTAAAGAGCCCCCCCCCCCCAGACTGGCTGTCCTGTTCTGTATTCTCATCAATAGGGTTGGAGTTTTCCTATAAATCCTATCATTTGCTGCTGTCGTTTTTTAAACAGCCGTCTGACGTAGTGTGCCGTGTCTCCCTGGTTTTCATTTGCATTTTTCTAAAGGCTGGTCATGCTGAACACTTTCTCAAGTGCTTACCGGTCACCCGTAGGTCCTCTGGTGGAGTGTCTCCTCTGGTCATTTGTCCACTCTCTAGTCGGGACACGGAGAGCTTTGCTGTTCAATTTGCCAGTCAGTTCTAGAGCCCCACAGGAACTCTGTCACGCATGCGCTCTGCAAGATTTTCATTGTTTTTTTTCCCGTTCCTGCACATTTTTTGGTGTTGCGTTTGATCTTTCAGTGGGTTTTTTTCAGAGCAGCTTCACTTCGCTGGGGTTCAGTTTGCCAGCTCTTCCCTGCACATGAAGCTGTGATGCCTTCAGACTCTTACCCTGCTCTAGTTCCTCGTGATTTTTTGTGTGTGTGTGTGTGTGTGTGTGTGTGTGTGTGTGTGTGTGTGTGTGTGTGTCTTTCTTCTGAAGCTTTTGAGGAGCTTTTATTTCTTACATTTAATTTCATTTTGATTTTCAAATACACTGTGAGTTTTTTCTCTCCACCATCATTTGTTAAAAGACTGTCTCCCAGCCCTGCAGACTCCCCTCACACACCTGTCAAACCTCGGTTGTGTATATCTGCGTGAATCTACTTCCGGTTTCTCTCTGCCTGTCCACGTGCTCCTGATCACTGTGGCTACAGTGAGTCTCCAGGCCAGAGCGAATCATTTTACTCATGGCCCAGGAAACTCTCTAGTTCCTTTGCCTTCCGTGCGAACCTTGGAGAACTTCCTTCTTAGCCAGCTCTCCCTTTGTAAGTGGAACATTCTGGTATTTTCCATAACAGTAAACACAGGTCTATGTTGTCATTTTGCTGTTTTGTAATAAAAATACAGCTTCATTTGTCCAACCCACCTTCCACTGTTGGATACTTAGGTGTTTTAAATAATTTCAACTTACTCCCCTCTCCCCCGCCCTGTTATTGACACTATCAATATCTGAAAGCCAGAAAGTCTCTGAAAACTTTCAACCGTTTCCTAAGGAGTAGCGTTGCTGAGTTGTCTTGGTTTTTCAGTTTCTTGATCCCTGATGGAGATGCAGCTTCCTAGCCAGAGCTGTTGAGTCCAGAGCTGTGGCCACTCCTCCCCGAGAGTGCGGGGTGGCCATGAGCAGGCTGGTCTTGGCACTGTCCTGTGGGTCACAGTTCCTGTCCTTTTTCTAACCCTTGGTGCAGAGCAGATGGGAAATGGGTTCAATGCCTCCTCTTTCTGGAAGACTTCCCATCCTTCTAAAGGCATCCCTGTCCTCTGGGGACTGCTTTCCTTTCTGGACCAGAGGGGCTCACAGGACCTGTGCAGCTCCACCCCCATGTCACTGCAAAGGCCTCTCCCCGCCCGGAGGGGCCTGCGACTACTTTAAGAAAATCTTTCCAGGCTTCAAAGAGTAATAGGATAGCTTTCTGGAATGCTTGTTAAAATTCTTGAATATGTTTAAGGGATTTTCATGTTCAAAGAGAGCACACTTTCTGTTTGATGTCGACAAAAGATGGTTTCCCCCCTTTTCTGAGAATTTAAATAATTTGCCTGATTTCTGGTGGAAAGACCACAAGACTCTCCCCTCGTGGTCTAGATGTGGTATGTGTTAGAAGTCTCCATGACTAACTGCAGGGGAGGATGTGTGTAAATGATTCGGAAATACGTTTCCAAACAAAGAACCATCTGTAAGTTGTCAGCTGGAAAACAATGGCGCCAGCCTTACACAAGATTGGATTTCTTTGAAACAATCACACACAAAGAAATAGAAATATCATTTTAAATAATCATTAATGATGGCCCGATGGGGACCCTCCAGAATAAATGGGAATCAGTCTCCCCCTTGTGGACAACTAGGGAAGCGCCAAGTTTTTGGCACTAAGCATGAGTTCTGAGGGAACCTTGGTGTGTGGGTAAGTCCTCTGATCCTGACGTCCTTAAACTACGGGGTCCCTGGCATGGGGCTCCGAGAGGAAGAACGGAAATGCTATGAAAGATTCCCCTGGCAGAGAGACGCCGGAAGCATGAGAGAGGGAATGTCAAACGGCTCCACTCTTGATGGACGGTGGTGATCCTTGGTCCAAACACGTTCTGCTAAATGCCATGAGCTGCTTCTGGGAAACATGGGACTGGGACTGAGGCAAGGGGGGAAACTCAAAGGGTTTGGGGGATATTTTTCTCCCAGCATGGAAGCAGGCTGCAGTTGACTTTGCCCTGATGGCTCCAAGGTTGTGAATGCAGCGCAGCAGCGCCCACAGGGGCTCCTGGGCCTGGGCCTCCTCCGGGCAGCATCCTGGAAACCAAGGCGTGCACATTTGTCCCTTAGAGAAGTTCTGCAGCCTGGCCACAGCTGGCCCTGCTCCCTCCCGCAGACCCAGCCTTCAGAGTCACTGGCTTCTCAGACCCTGCCTGCATCCAGCACTGTGAGATCACATGCTCCTGGAAATCAGGACAGCGGGAGTTTCATACCTCCATCTTGGCTGTGTCCTTCAGTGTCGCCCCATCCAGACAGTGGAGTCTCTCTGGCAGAGAACAGGGTTCCTGGCCAACAGAAGTTGAGAAATGCAGGCACTAGGGTCAGAGGGACCTGGCCCAGGCTCGGCTGACTGACCTGGAGTGCCACTTCTCCAGATCTGATCTCTAGCCCTGGGATTCAGGATGTTCCTATGAAGACACAGTTTAAGTGAAACCTTGCCATGAGCCCTCATAGTGGGCCCTGGCTCCACCATTCTCAAACCCTGCATGAGCCTTCTCCTATCCCTTATGCTGTTGACAGGGATAAACTGGCACAGATTAAGAAAAATGATAAGCAGAATTTCATAAAAATTAAACTTTTGGATCACAGAAAGACGTCAGTAATAAAAAGAAAAAGGCGCAGCTAAAAAGGAAATATTTACAATGCAAATTTTTGACAAAGGACTTGTATCCAGCATCTATAAAGTGTTGACAACGCAACAACATGAGCAACCGGGCCAGACGAGCCTAAGATGGTAACACAAGCCCAGCACAGCCCGTTCTCACTGCGACTAGAAATTCTAAATAGAATGTACAAGCTGCTATGTGAGAACTCTAAAGGTGAGTGATTGCAGATTGGAAAAAAAAAAGAGGAAAAACTGAACAGACACGTGCCGGGCACGGTTCCTCCCTCCCTCCGTCCCTCCTCTCTCCTGTTCCTCTTTTCTTCCTCTCCCTCACACCTCCCACTTCTGTTCTTCTTCCTTCCCCCACTTCTCACAGAAGCAGCAGAGGCAAAAGGATATTCCCCAAGAGAGCTCCTCTTTTTAGTCAAAGGAATCTGATGGAGGGGCCCTTGTGGGAAGAAGGAGTAAGGAATATCCAGGGATATAGATAGCCAAAAAGTGGTTCCCTAATTCTGTGAAAACATGGCCCATGCACTGTGCACAAATCACACAGATCCAAACCAGCAAAGTAAAACCTTGGGAATGAAACTGAAATGCAGACCATGGGCACACCTTTTTAACACACTTGCTAAATACAGTGCGTGCTTGGGACAGCCCCAAATCAGTGCAGCCACTGACCCTGGAACTGCTGTCCACACAAGACAATGCTGAACCTGAGCTTGAACCCACGCAAACTGCGGACCTACGAGAGCAAAACCACCGTGTTCTTCAGACAGAGGAGTGTGGACTGAACCCAAAGTCTACACTCAGTGACATTTCCCGTCTCTAAGACAATCCAAATCTACCCAGCATGCAATGAGCCAGGAAAGCACGGGCAGTTCTCAGGGGAAAAGAATACATTCAGATCCCAAGGTGAGTCATGGCTGCTGGATTACCAGACCAAGACTTCAAAGAGGCTGTGGTGATAGCATGCTTCACCAGATCCAGAGAAATGCACAGAAGAGGACCAAGAAGATATTTGTGTACAGAGAACTTTAAAAACACTTTTAAAAGAGCAAACGGAAATGCTAGGATTGAAAAATAAAAAGCTGAAACTTAAAATTCCCCCTGCATGATCCAGCAGGGGCAAGAGTGAAGGGTGCGTGTGAGGTGAGGGAAGGTGTGTGTGTGTGTGTGTGTGTGTGTGTGTGTGTGTGTGTGTGTGTGTGTGTGTGTGTGTGTGTGTGTGAGAGAGAGAGAGAGAGAGAGAGAGAGAGAGAGAGAGAGAGAGAGAGGAAGGCACGTGTGAGGTGGGTCAGAATGATTCAATCTGAAGAACGGGGAGAAAGGATTCTTTAAAATGAACCTCAGGGACAAACGTGGAAACATTCTTAGGATATAATGAAGTGTTGGTCGTTAGACTTCTGGGAGAAGAGGAGAAAGAGAGTGGGGGAAATGCTTGAAGAAATAAAGGCCCGAAGTTAGTAAAGGGCAGAACCTGGCACATTCAGGAGGCTCTGTGCACCCCAAGAGGGTGTGCTCTGTAAAGACCGTGCCTGGATGCAGCATGAACTGCTGAAAACAAGATAAAGTTTCGGCTGGAACAAAGAACTGAGACACAGCTCACAGCAGGGCGGTGATGCGTCCAATCCAGGGGCAGCACTACCAGTCCGGGGAAGTGGGAGGAGCCAGTGGTTCACACTCCTACCAGTCCGGGAAGTGGGAGGAGCCAGTGGTTCACTACCAGTCCGGGAAAGGGGGAGGAGCCAGTGGTTCACTACCAGTCCGGGAAGTGGGAGGAGCCAGTGGTTCACTACCAGTCAGGGAAGTGGGAGGAGCCACTGGTTCACACAGCAGCAGGGCCACAGTCAGGAGCCGATAAACCGCACTCCTTAACCTTTTCATTACAGTTACATAAAGTTCTAGACAGTGTAAAGCCATGGACAGTGGTAGCAGATGGCAGAGTTCCTGAGGGTGGTGAGGGAAGAGAGGAGGAGGGAGCTGGTGTATGACTCTTCCTGGGGAGATGTGAACAGTCATCTATTCACCCCAGGTAGGAAACCAACAACAGACAGTTTTATGAACTGATGAGTTTTATTGGTGTTGATTAGAGGAGTGTGGGTGAGGGGTTACTTACAAGAGCAGAAATGATTCAAAGGCAGCTGCATCAGCAAAGTCCACCCCAGCACGGGTGACAGCTCACAGAAGCTGGGAACCGGGAGTACACTGCACAGCCTGCAGACAGCTTGGCAGGTTGGAGACTGTCCTTTCCAGGTGGCTCTGTTGGTGGCACTGCACAGCTTGCCTGACAGTGTCTCTCAGCAGTCCTTACTGCTTATAGAAGCTTGAGGAGGGAGGGGCCTAGTGAATCTGGTCAGTTTCAGGGACTTTCTGAGGCTAGTGAGTTGTTTAGTCCTGAGTTTAAATGAGCTTCCCTGCTGGATGGAAGGTTCCACCTCCCCTTTGAACACCCTGTTGTTTCCTTTCCTTTCCTGAGTCATAACAGCTTCACTTCAAGATGGAAGGTTTGAACCTCAGAGGAAACCGCCACACAGTGGAAGGAAGAGAGGCTGGAAAGGAGCATGAGAGAAAATTGACGACATTATAAAAGTACATGACAAAGTTTTGAGGGCTATAGAAATGTATCTTGACTGTGGTATCCTCTTCTGTTTGAATCTATGTACGAACTGATCACATTTATTCTTTGAACAAACCCAATTTAATGCACTTTAGTTATAAGATTCCTGCTACACAAGTCTGCCCCCAGGGACATACTTCTTCCCCTAAAACTCCCCAAACAGCACCACCAACTGGGGGCCATGTGCCTAAATGCCACAGACTATTGGGAGAAAGAGGAAACATTTCCCAAACTACCATGATCAGGAAGACGGAACTAAGCCTGACATGTGCTACAAGCCACAGGATGGCAAAAATTTTAAAGTGCCAGCAAGAGTGTGATGAAAACAGAATTTTCTGGGGGATATAAAGATAGTGAGTGTGCCCACTTTGGAAACAATTAAGCCGTGTCTTATTTAAATATACATTAACTATATGATCTAATTAGACAAATCCTAGCTAGAAGTACAAAGTACATGGACATAGTATCTCACATTCAGCTATTGGTTGCAATAAAGTTTGTGATGGAAACTGAAGTTGAAGATGGAAACTATGCTCAGGTATGTGGCTACAGAAACTGTGGCCTAGCATAGAGAGATGCGCTGCTCATCAGCAAAGAGAAACGAAGAGCAGGCCTGAGGGGGATGAGACTCCAGAGTGCCAACAAAAGAGAGCTCCGCACATGGAGTTCCTACTCCGTGACTCCGCTCCTCCTAGAAGAAGAAGGAAGGATCTGATAGTGTTCAGAAGCAAATCTGGGTGTGGTGGTGCACATCTGTAATACCGAGTGTGGGAGGCAGGGGTAGGAGGATCAGAAGTTCAAGGCCATCCTTGACTACATAGCGAATTCAAGGCCAGCCTGAGCTACAGGAGATCCTGTTTTAAAAGGGGTGGCAGTGGTGGACAGAGAAGTGGCTCAGCGGCTAAGAGCACTGGCTGTCCTTGCAGAAGATCTGGGTTCAGTTCTTAGCCCCCACATGAGGTGGCTCATAATTATAACTTCAGTTCCAGGGGATCAGTTGCCCTCCTCTGGTCTCTCAGGATACTGTGTGCACATGGTGCACATACATTCACTCAAACATGCATACATATACATAAAATAAAAATAATAATTTCTAGTTAAAAAGCAAAATCAGTAGTGTTTTGGGTCTGGGAATCAGTGGAGGCATTACTTAGGGGCTGTTCCATGGACATACCGATTTGTCAATATTTATTAGCCTTAAAAAATGCTGATTTTTTAAAAAGTTGATTATATAACATGAACTAAAATAATAAAGCTGGAAAAAATACAAATAACATGACATTTGTACAAAGACAGTCGAGGAGATGGATATAAAAAAAAATCTAGAAACTGATTTGAGCTTTAAAAGTTAATCATTTGGGTTATTTTGGTATTTTAAATCAATTTGAGGGAAAATATTTACAAATGATATTGAGTCAGTTGGCCATTCCAGTTACAAAATTAAGGCCTATATCCACTTATTGTAGATGTAACCAACCGTCTTATTAAATAAGAAACACAGAGCCGATTCAGAGAAGAAAGCCAAGAGGTCAGAGCTAAGAGCCTCACCCTTCCTGCTTCAGCGATCCTCTTCAGCCAAGAGAGCTCTCTGAAAGGGAGCTACTTCCTGTGTGTTTGTCTTTATAGCCTTTCTGTTCTGCCTTCTCATTGGTTGTAAACCCAAACACATGACTGCCTCGTCACTGCCTGTATGTACAGCCCTCCAGGTCCTCTATGGTATTGAGATTAAAGGCGTGTGTCTCCAATGTTGGCTGTATCCTTGAACACACAGAGATCTACCTAGCTCTGTCTACCAAGTGCTGGGATTAAAGGCGTGTGCCACCACCACCACCACCACGCTCTTGCTATGGCTCTAATAGCTCTGACCCCCAGGCAACTTTATTTATTAACATACAATTAAAATCACATTTCAGTACAAGTAAAATACCACCATAACTTATGGAAAAAAAAAGAATTTTACGTAGATTAAAGAGTCAAGTCTATTTAAAAACATAGTCATCTTAAATGAGCAAGCAGTAGAGGCCTCCGAGTGAGTGTGTGGTGTGGCTTGGAAGAGCCATGCCTGTGCCCAGAGAGCCCCACGGGGCCACACTGTTTGGAGTCTAGTCCTGGGGAAGCCCAGGGTCCCACAGATGGGACAGGACAGAAAAGGAGTTCCCAGGCTCCTGTTCACGCCCCCAAACTAGAGAGAACTTCAAAGCCTTCTTCCCCTTCTCTGCTCAGCCCCCTCTGGGAAATGGCACAACAGTGGTGTCCTTCTGACTGGAAAGCTTGCAGAAAGGACCAGGCAGCACACATTAGAGTGGCCCAGAGTGGCTGCAGACGCTTCGTAAGGGGTCAGCAGTGCTGGTCACCTCCTCGTAAGGAGGAGCACTTGGTATGCTACAGGGACCAGCATGGCCGTATATAATCAGTCCTGAGACCCGCTCCCTTTACAGGTGACTTGGGAAGAGCCATGGTGGGGTGCCTTAGCCATGACCCCGGGGCACTGAGAGGTTGGAGCATCAGGTGAGTAGAGATCCACACAGCACTGGGCAGCTCCCCTAGTCAGTGGATAGACAGGACTGTGGAAGCCTTCCTCTTCTGCCCCAGGGCTGTCACTCTGTAGTCTCTGGACAGAGGTCTCCCATGAGTCACTGGCCCCAGAGGAAAGACCTGGTCTGACTGCAGATGTTTTCATTCTCTTTGTTTCCCTGGTCTCTTGGGGCCATCCGAATTAAGCTGAATGAAGAGCAGGTGAGGCGCACAGGTGCTGGGTGTAGGGCAGAAGTCTCCATGGCAACAGAGCCATCTGGCTTTCCTGCCTGGCATCCGGCCTTGTGACTTCACAGCGGAATCTTCTCACAGTGGGCAGGAGGGGTTGCCGGGTAAAGAGGGTGGGGGAGGGGCTTTGGCCTTCTAGCTCTAGTTTGAGGCTTAGGCTTCTTCCTGTCAGCATCTGGGGCTCCAGTCAACTCCAGTAGACTCCAAGTGGCGAGTGCTAGTGAGTGTGAGCGGCGTAGCACATGGGCCATTCTCTGCTGAAGCCCTCTGGGGGGATTGGAGGAATCACACCTGGTTTCCTTCAATCCAAGCCTAGCAGGTGAAGAGGAGCCAGGGCCCCAGGAGGAAAGACAGAAGTGTGGATCTTTCCCACCCAGAACAGCCTGTCCTGGTCGGCACTCTCTCAATGGCAGGAAGGGTAAGACAGAGGGGGAGTCGCCATAGGAGGCTTCCATAGGAAGCACAGTGGAGCCCTCCTACCCAGCAATGAACCATCCAGCCCGCTCACATGTGTTAGGTTCCTCAGTTGACTAACAAATCCTGAAAACCTGCTGAAATGGTGGCAGTTCACTCCCACAGTGCTGGAGGCCCGAAGCCTGATGCCACGGTGTCAACAGAGTGAGTTCCTTCTCGGGGGTGCAAGGGAGAAGCTGTCCCGGGCCTTTCTTCTGGCTTCTGGTGATGCTGGTGACCCGGCGTTCCTTGGCTGTGGCACCACCACTGCAGTTTCCACTCATGAGATCATATATGACGTGCTCCCCAAGTATCTGTGTCCAAGGTTCCCTGTCAGAGATTCCAGGCATGCCCTAACCCAGTAGATCTCCACCTATTGTATGTGCCAAGATCATACAGACAAGGAAGGGCCCAGTCACGGTGCCAGGGCTCAGCTGGGATGTACCTTATGGGGAGCATGCACAACACACACACACAGAGTGCGGATGGGGCTCAACCTGTTCCCCCAGCACAGTGCCAGGAGAGGCCAGTCTGGATGAAGGGTAGGACAGGGAATGTGAATGTGTGCTCTGGTCCCTCATCTCCAGGAGCTCTTGGTCCATGGACAACACTTTCCCAGGAGTTAGGCGACATTCAGGGAGTTAGGGACCTGCTCTGGTTGTACCTGTGACAAAGGAAGGGGAGGCCAGAGCTGGGACCCCCTAGAGGAGTCAGGAAAATCAGGGGCTAGACCATAATAGACTTCCCACGAAGCCCAGAGTCTATAAATTGGAGCAGCTTGAGGCCTCTGGAAATGGTCCCAATGAACATTGACAGAAATGGGAGACTCCAAGTCTCTGTATGTTCCTACCCCCAGCCCCCACCCGGCCAAGAAGGAATCCATCATTTCCTTTCTCTGCCTCTCCCCCACCAACCCTGGGTCAGCAAGAACTTAGATCCTAGCCAAGCCCTACTTGACGTCCTCATTCTCTTCCCCTCCCCTCCTTCTCTCCCTCATGTGAATGGGTGTTTTTCATGTATGCGCGTCTGTGCACTTGCATGCCTGCCTAGTGCTTGTGGAGGCCAGAAGAGAACATTGGATCCTCTCAGAAACAGGGTTCCAAATGACCGTGAGCCACCAAGTGGACGCTAGGCTTGAATCTAGATTCCCCTGGAAGACGGTTGTGCTCTTAGGCTCCGAGCCGGCTCTGCATTCCCATCTCTGTTCGTCCTTCCACACTGCCCGTCCTTTCATTGTCCACCACACACCAGGGCTTTTCTAGATCCCCTGGAGACAGACGTCAACTAGACAGATGGGCCTTGCCTTGATGGGATGTGTAATTAATTCAAGATAGCCAGAAACAATGCCGGCAAGTGCTTCGGGGCAGAGTAGGCACACCAAAGGAGACGTGTCCTCAGCTGGGAGGGGGTCAGTCAATAAGGTGATGTCTAAACCAGGATGGTAAAGAAAGCACCCCTGACCAGGCACCATATGCAGCCATCACCCAGGCAAAGGGATGGCTCAGGCAAGCACACTGGTGTGTGCTCAGGACCTGCTAGGAAATGCCAAGTGAAGGCCTGTGTGGACCCAGCAGACCTAAGGGGAGTCCGAAACCAGAAGGTTAGAATAAGGAACAAGACCTTGATTTTTTTCTTGGAAAAGTGTTGGTTGAGTGTCAGGGGCATGGATGCCTCAGGTGCAGGATAGGAGGAAAACATTTCTGTGAGGAGGAAGGGATAGCAGTCACTACGGAGAGGCTGGGAGCTGGGAAGACAGGGTCAAGCGTGGTGTGACTGAGGGCCTAGGGACCAGGGTCTACTGAGCAGAGCCAGTAGGGTGAGAAGTGAGGTGAGGTTGCAGATCTCAGGGTTTTCTGAGGGCGTGACTGGACCCACTACTGGACTTTCCCAGAAGGGAGCCCTGATCAGTTGTGGGCCCTACAAGCCCCCTAAATGTAGACAGGACTAGGAAGGAAGCAGGCAGTAGTGACTAATGGATACCCTCTCTTCTTAGACAACTCAGAAGAGCCACGAGACTGAGTCCAGTGCCTCGATCTCTCTGAGTCTCCTGTTGGGGGAGGACCCAGGACACCTTTCCCAGCAACCGCAGGCCACCAGTTCACAGGACCAGGAGCCACTTGGCTCTCCCAGCCCCTCTGAGATGGGCTCAGAATACCTGCTTTTCTTCCACGTTCCTGAGCAGCCCCTGGCTATGGAGGAGCTGGCTCAGCGGGTTCAACTCTGCCCAGGACACAAAGCTGGCAGGAGCTGCAGAGAGGGTCTGTTCCTCGAGGAGTCAGCGCCACCCAGTGGCTTCTTCCCATACTACCGCTCTCAGGAAGAGCTGCTCAACTGCACCACCCCTCAAGGCTGCCGGTGTCTGGGCACTAGAGACTGCTTTCCTGGAAGTGGGGCACAGGATGGCTGCTGCAAGGTGACATGGGATGGATTCCCTGTGAATCTGAAGAGGCCACAGGAGGGCAGGCAGCACCAAACCTCTGGAATGCTCCAGATACCTATCCCCAGTGAGCCCTTGGCCAGATGGCACACTAGCTGTGGGTACAAAGGCTAGAGGGACTGTCCAACTATACTTCATCTCCTCCCTTTCAGGGAAGTGGCTCTGGAGATCGAATTACATGCAATAATTCAAAGAAAGGCCTGAAACCAGAGCTGAGCCCGTAGAAACACTTGCATTACTTCTTGAAATTTGTTAGACACCCAGATACTGGATCTGTGCCATCTCATTTAATCCTAATGACCCCATGCTAATGGCAGCTTACAAGTGAGACAACATCTCTTCGAATATCAAAGGAACACGACCTCAGTCACCCAGGTAGCAGGTGCCAAGCCTGGGTTCTGGTCCAGCCCCATACCCTCTAATGTTATGAGCAATCCCCCTGGTAACCACACAGCTTGGCATGGGGTCTAGGGACGGCACAGGAAGTGGGGGTAGATAATAAGTTCAAAGTCAGGATCAAACTTTCCCATGGGGGCCCCTGGATGGGTCGGCAATGTTACCAAGGGCTCCCCACTCTGCAGAACTGGCCTGGGTCCTGGCGCCCTCCTTGATTGCCCCGTAGAGTTGTAAGGTAGGGTTCATCTTGGCATCTGGGCCTGAGCCAGGCTGACACCTTGCTTTTCCTCACCCAGTGTGCTTTGGCAGGGCCTGACCTCCTCTCTGGCTTTTCATCCTCACCAGCCTGCTGCCACTTCTTGGGAGGGTTCATGCCTGATGGCGACCAGGATCTTCCCCTCTCTGGGGACCGTGCTCTTGATGCTTCAGGATTTGTACCATACTACAGAAGCCCTGAAGAGGGGCTTCACACCAGCCCGGTGCCTCCCTCCTCTGTGCTGGGGAGCTCGAGGGAGCGACCCCAACCTGGTGCTGCCAGCCTGTGAGGATGCAGCAGTGAAAGCCGCAGGGACTTCTGTGAGTGAGCTTGCCAGTCGGGTGAGGGATGAAGAGAACTAGAACTGAGGGTTCCACGGCTCAGTCCATTTGCCCTGGGACCATTCGTCCTTCCTGGGGCAGAAAGAGGTCTGCTATTAGATCACCAGTGTGTGTGTGTGTGTGTGTGTGTGTGTGTGTGTGTGTGTGTGTGTGTGAAATCCTCTCATCGCCACAGAGGCCCACAGGAAGAACCTACCCTTCCCCCTCCACACCTTTTCAGTGCCCAATGACCTGATGGAACACACACACACACACACACACACACACACACACACACACACACACACACATCTGGGCTCACCTTTCTCATTGCAGCAGGAGAGGCCTGTGCCACCCCCGGAAATCAACCATCCTGCCCCATCTATCCCACTTTATTCTCCTAGGTGGAAAATCTGCCTGATGAGGTGTGGGGGTGGGCACCACAAGCATGGCTACAGAGGGATTCCTACTGTGCCCCCCATTAGAACATCATTTGTCCTTCTGTAGCTTGTCACATGCCTGGACACAGGGATTCCTGACACAGGGAGCAGGGGCCTCCTGGACAACTTGGAGGTACACACCCCCGAAGCTGGCTTTGTAAATAAATCCTGTCGGCATGGGTGCCTTTCTACCTCAGTGTGGTGCTTCAGAACTGGGCCCCCAACTTCCCTCTACTGAGCACTCATTATGAGCCAGGGCCTTGCCAGATCCTCAGAGATAATCTCATTCTACAGGCCAAGGAACAGGCTCAGTGGGGCGGGAGACAGGCTTCTGATTCTTAGTACTGACATTAGCAGAGGCCCGTGGCTGGGGCTGCAGGGATGGCGGGATTGATCTGCTGGGAGGAGCTGAGCTGGAGTCTGACTGCACAGCCTGGAGACCCAGCCAGGCTCTTGCACAGCCCACTTACTGTACCTGCCCATTCCCACCCCGTGTGCACCCAGGCCTCGTCATCTGCGTCTGCTTTTCCCGAATCTTTTCACCCGGCCGTTCTGCCACTTAGGAAAACCTCGGTGTATTTTGTGGAAAAAAATCCATGTTGCTTTAAGGTTTTATTCTTTAACCACCATGTCCCACCCCCCACCCCCGCCCCCACTGACCACACACACACACACACACACACACACACACACACACACACACCCTGCTTGTTACTGGGTCAGAAGAAATGGTTCTGGAGTCCTTTGGAATTGCTGCTCCTCAACATGGGGAATTTGCCTGTGAGGTGATTACTCTGACTCTGGAGCAGAAAAACAGTGGCGGATGGGTGTGCTCAAAGCTGAGAGTGATCTCAGCCTTGACATTGGGTCCTGTAGGGCTGGTGGTGCAGGCCTTTAATCTCAGCCACTCAGGAGGCTGAGGCAGAGAGTTGTTTGTCTTAACAACTTGTGATACTGGCTCAGAGTTAAAGAATAAAAGAAAATAGGATGTCTGGGGGTGTAGGTAAGGCTCTAGGATTAATACCCAACAAAAAATTGTGGGTCCTAGTGCCAGGCCGTTTTTAGCAGGTGGTAAATGGGCATAGAAGTACTGGACACATGCTAAACGTGTAGCAAGTGCGCAGACCTGTTTCACTGAAACAATGTGCTGATCATGTCAGTTCTCGGTCTCTTGTCCCATGCCCCAGACTTGACCTCTACCCTCAGAGGTTATTTGGAGAGCGTTGGCTGATGCGCATGTGTGCCCAGGAATTAGGGGTGACAGGTGGCAAATCTACCAGGTCTCCTGGGAGCAAATGCTAGCTTGAGAGGAGCCTGTATTCCTGTCATGGGAGCACTGTGATTGTCTGTCACTCACAGCAGCGGCCATCTCACTGAGGACTACCACTGACCCGTGGGTGCCACTGTCCACATGATCCCATCTCAGCTCTTGGCCCTGCCATCCAAGGTCCTCTGGAGTTAGGCCCCGCCCTTCAGCATCCTGACCCCCAAGGGAGCCACGCAAAGGTCTGTCTAACCCTGGTTTCTCTCCACAGCCATTGCTGTGGTGTACCCTTGCCCTGTGCCATTTTCTCAGTCACCTATAAGCTTAAACAGTCTCTCCCACAACTTCCCAGTCTACCCTCAGACTTTCTTTCTGCACACTGCTAGCCTCTGCTCTTTAGGTAGGTATGGGTGAGCCTGCAGTGAAGCCTCGCACACACACACACACACACACACACACACACACACGGAGGACAACCATGTGATCTAGCTGCCTCCCATTTAGGGCACCACAGACCCCACTTGACTCCCCAGTGAGGTTTCAATAGCAGCTGTGGCCCTGGTCACCCTCTTATACCCTCTTCTTCCACAGGTTTCCTTCAATTTCAGATCTCCCCTGTGCTACACAGGCTCCCTGATCAGGAAACCACCGTGTAGTCAGATTTTTCTTGGGGCTGCCAGCTCACAAATAATGACACAGAGACTTATTAATTAGGAAAGCTTTGCCTTAGCTTAGGCTTGTTTTAGCTAGCTCTTATAACTTAATTTAACCCATTTCTATCCATCTACATTCTGTCCCATACCGCCCATCCTGCTTCCTCTGTGTCTCCTTATCTCTCTCCTGCACCCAATGACCTCCTCCTACTTCCTCTCTCTGCCCAGAAGTCCCGCCTATTCCTCCTGCCTAACTCTTGGCCATCCAGCTTCTCATTAAATCCATCACAGCAATAGATCTTCCCGCAGTGCAAACATCTCACAACGCCTCTGCTCATCATTAATACAACCCACTGTGTCCGTCACCTGAGGAGAAAACGGGAGGGGGTCAGGCAGTCCTCAGCCCTCAGGACCCAGGGTGGAAGAAACCAGGAGCTCCAGGGTCCTGCACTGGTGTCTGGGAGAGATTTCCCCTTCTGATATCAGAGTCCTCTATCTAGGATGTGATGCAGTTGGCATGTTATTCCTGTCTCATGATGATATAGAGGCTGAGGCAGGGGAGTTGGGGCATTTATGTTGAGGGGTGGGACTGTGGGCCTTTAGGAAAGTCACTTCCCTTATTGAGTCCTGGCCAGAAGAAGCATTTGGGGCTTGGAGTGAAACAGTTGGGAGCCAGCAACCATCACTGCTTCAGTGAACTTGTTTGAGCACCCCCCTGAGAGCCAGGAGCTGCCTAGCAGAGCCGGCTTACAAGCTGCAGGGGATGCCGAAGGAAGCGCTTCCTCCTTGCAGCCCACAGCTCTCAAGATGTCTGAGGGTGCCAGAGTGGCTGTCAGTGCTCTCCCTGGCACCTCTGACATCTCAGTGGCCTCCCTGGCACCTCTGACATCTCTCAGTGCTCTCCCTGGCACCTCTGACATCTCAGTGGCCTCCCTGGCACCTCTGACATCTCTCAGTGCTCTCCCTGGCACCTCTGACATCTCTCAGTGCTCTCCCTGGCACCTCTGACATCTCTCAGTGCTCTCCCTGGCACCTCTGACATCTCTCAGTGGCCTCCCTGGCACCTCTGACATCTCTCAGTGGCCTCCCTGGCACCTCTGACATCTCTCAGTGCTCTCCCTGGCACCTCTGACATCTCTCAGTGCTCTCCCTGGCACCTCTGACATCTCTCAGTGGCCTCCCTGGCACCTCTGACATCTCTCAGTGCTCTCCCTGACACCCTCTGACATCCCTCTGGACCTTTCTGTTTATACAGTCTGGCTCCATTCTGGTGACCTTTTCCACCTGAAAGTTCCTAGTGTTGTGGAGCAGCGCCCTCTCCTGGCACATCTTGTCAAGACACAGTGGGTGTCTCCGTGGTCTAGATAATAAAATTCTTTGGGCGTCATTTAGGAAAGTGCCACCCCTGCCTTATAAAGACTGAGCCAACAGCAGCAGCCTCAACTCTGGTGTGAGCCCAGGCAGCCTAGCCCTCAAATGGCCAATCTGCCTTCACTCCTCAGCCACCCCCCATGCAGCTTCTCAACTCTGTGGTGGGCTGAGCATTCCCTGGACAGACCCCAGAGAACTGCCCATGGGGAAGAGGCCCTGTTCCCAATGACAGGCTCATACAGCACCCCCAAAATCAGTGTGGCCTTTTTGTCCCTCCAGTTACCTCCTGCAGCCAGCACAGGGACAATGCACGCCCAAAGAAAGCATGTGTGTGGGGTCCTGCCACAGTCCTCAGTCGTTACTGTTGTACCCAGAGTCCCCCAAAGACCATCAAGAGACCAAATCCAATGCAAAAGCAAAGGGTCTTTTTACTACGAGTTAACTCAGGAGACTCTGTCCCCCTGACTCAGCAGCAGAGCAGGAGAGACCCCGAGTAGCCAGAGGGTGGGGTTTTTAAAGAAGGGGGGCTTGGGGTCTACAGAGGAGCAGACTCAGGATTGAAGCACCTCCCGTCCTTGGTTAGTTTGCAGCTTCAAGAAACGGTGGTTGTGGCTACTACAGTTTTTATCACGACGCTGCTTTGCTGTGACTTGCTGGCTGCTTCTACTATATGGGGACATCTGGCAGGATTTTCCTGTAACTAGAGCTAGGCCCAAGGTTGGGGGTTCAAGGGCACATCATGCTGTGCCAGGGGCCTACATTCTGTTGGGTGTTTTCCACAGTCTGTCATGGCTGCAGAATAGTCAAGGCAGGGGTCCAGGCAGGGGCCTAGGTTCTTCAATTACATCCTTTTATTCTCGGTGGTGGGTGGGGTCCTAGTGGTCAGTACAAAGGCCTAGAGGCAGAAAAGCAGCCAACACTTTGGAGGCCCCAAAAGAAGCCATGATTCTGTGGGGCTCTGGCAAGGCCCATGGAGAGGCGTCACTGCTGCAACTGGAAGTGAGGTGGCTGCCTCCTCGGCTCTGCCATGATCCAGACTCCCTCTTCTGCTGACATCAGGTGGCTAGCCCCTTAGTCACTGCCCCATAGCCTCCCTGTTTAAGGGACCTCTGAGTGCTGACTGAACATCAGGCCTACACAGGCCCAGGAGACAAGGTAGTGCCTGTTCTCAAAGGTTTCCCATCTGATGGACAGACGGACTATAAGCCAGAGTACACAGGCAGGCAGGTGGCTATGTCCAGCACAGACAGTCAAGGTGGAATGTGGTGGTGTGCACTTCAGCA